ATAAAATTTCAGATTTAATAATAATCTCTATTCTTTAGTATAAATAATAATTATTAAGAGAATAACTTCAATTTTAATAATTTAATAAAGATTTATTTATTATAATAATTCTTTGAATATTTTTCTTTTATTTTGAAAGTTTTATTAAATACAAATATATATACTCTTGATTATCTTAAGCATAACTTATTTTTAATATGTTTTAATATACTTTTTTTTGAAAATATATTTAAATGTAAGAATATGTATTATTTTATTCTAGTATTACTAATTTATTTAATTTATTATTTGAATATATTTTTATTTTTAAAAATTATATTTATTTAAAATAAATTCTATTAAATCAATTAAATTTTCATATTTTCATTTTAAAATTTAATTAGTAAATGAGCATTTTTATAAATTTCTTGTTTAAAATTTATGTACAGTCAACTCTTGTTATAACGAACTCTATATCCTAGACCTCAACTTCGCTATAAGGCTATAGTGAAGATTTTAAGAGATTTGATTGGCCAATTCGCTATAACAAGAGTATTTTTATTATATTTGTTCAAAAAATTCGTTATATCAAGAGTTCGCTATATCAAGAGTTGACTGTAATGATGATTTTAATTGAATTTAATTAAAGTCTCTTTCAAAAACATAAAATATTGAGCTAAATCTAACTGCTACTTAATCAATTAAATATTTCAATCTGCTAAATTATTAATTAAATAATATTAAATTATTATTATATTTTTTATTCTAATTATTTTTCTTCAATTTTCTTTTAAACATTTTAATTTAAGCTTATTATATGTATCATCATAGTTAATAATAATATTATTTCTTTTTATTGACTATTTTATTTATTTATATAACTTTTAGGCTAATCATTTATTTTATATTTACAAATCTTTTATGTTGTTTTATTTGCAGATTATTCTTTTGCTATATTATATAATTCTTATTATACAAATTTCTTAAATTATATTATAAATAAATAAAACTTATTTTATTTAGAAATAATATTATCATTTAATAAAATTTATATATTTTAAATTATTTTAACATATAAGATCTTTGCAATAGATAAGGAGGAAACAGTCAGAAAAAATCAATTTTATTTTTATAAGTCAAATATGATTTTAGTCAAATATGTTCAGATTTAGTATTAACTTAAATTTTATTTTTTTTTTAGCTATTTTTCTTTTTTATTGTAAAGGTTCCATATTGTTTTATATAATAGTTAAAAAATTTTTAATAATAGTTTTATTTTATATAATTTATAAAATATTTAATTTATAAATTCTAATATTAATTAAAATCAAAATATATTTTATAAAAAAAATTTTAGTATACTTGAGTAAAAAGTTTGAAGAAATTTGTTTCAGATAAAATTAAAGATATTAAAAAGTCTTATAGGACTAGTTTTTAAATAGTCCTATAAAATTCAGTCTAATTTAAAGTCTTTGAACTATAGGATTGCAATCCTAAGTTAGTAATTTTATAGAAATTAGAACTTGTAATCCTAAGATTACAATCTATAAAAATTAGAATTTGCAATTCTAAAATAGTAATTCTATAGAAATTAGAACTTACATCTCTATAAAAAATAATCATTCAAGTCAAACAATTCATTGTCATTTTTCTTAAACAAATTTTTTATCATTCAAGTCAAATGATTTCTTATCATTCTTTTTAATGATTTTATCATTTAAATTAAATGATTTCTTATTATTCTTCTTGAATGTTTTTCTTGAATGAATTTTATTGTTTAAATTAAACATACTCATCATTCTTCTTGAATGATTTTTTTATCATTTAAATTGAACAATTACCTATCATTCTTTTATTGTTCAAGTCAAACAATTTGTCATCATACTTCTTAAATGGTTTTTTTATAATTCAAATTGAACGATTTTTTATAATTTAAGTCAAATGATTCCTCATTGTTCTTCTTAAACAATTTTTTATCATGTAAGTCAAATGATTCCTTGTTCTTTTTGAACGATTTCTCATCATTTTCTTGAACAAATTTTTTATTGTTCAAGTCAAATAATTCCTCATCATTTTTCTTGAATAATTATTTCTTTTATCATTCAAGTTGAATGATTCCTCATCATTCTTCTTGAATGATTTTTATCATTCAAGTCAAATGATCTTGAATGATTATTTTTCTATAGGATCGCAGTTCTAGAATTGCAGTTCTAGAATTGCAAGTTCTAATTTTATAGGATAGCAATCCTAGGATTGCAAGTCCTAATTTCTATAGGACCACGATCCTAGAACTGCAGTCTCAGAACCTGGTCCTAAAATTCAATCCTAGGACCCAAGTCCTATGGACTGGATTTCTTTAGGACTGGGAGCTTCGGGACTGGACTAGGACCGGACTGGATTTTTAACATCCCTAGATAGAATAGAAAAGATTATTAATAAAAATGATTAACTCAAATTAAAAAAAAATTTTTATTATGTAAAATATTATTGATAGCTATTTATAAATGTTTCGAATCAAAAACTCCTTTTTCATAATTAATATTGCGACCATACCATACTAGATTTTGAGTAACGTAATTTGAGTAGTTAAATGCATCTAGTTGCATTTTGTCATTGATAAATTTCTCATTTAGTATTTTCATTTTCAATAATTTCTGTTTCTGTATAAATTGTATAATTATTTAAATTATTTTCGTGTTTTTCTAATTAACATTCACCTTCCTACTTTTCGAAATTCCGAAAGATGCCAAAAAAAAAAGCTAGCGGTACTCCCTCAACAACAGTAAGAAGGTCAACTCGTATTAAACGCGACGAAACCAAAAACGACCAAGTTATAGAGGAGGCTATTCAAGAAGTTTTTTCTTCTGAAAATGAAGAAATTCGACCTAAACCTTTACCTAAAAAACGTACAAATTCTTCCTCACCCGCTTCTAAAAACACACGTACAAAAACGGCTCACATTGAGGACGAGCATCAAACAACAGAGGAAATGAAGGTTCCAAATGAGGATAACCAAGAATCAGGTGCTTACAAAACTGAAGCAAGTAAAGACACGTCATCAAGCAACAAAGATAAAGGAAAGAACAAAGTTATTAATATAATAGATGACGCGTCAACAACTGAAAGTGCTAGTTTTGTGTCTTTCAAAAGTCAGGATACGTTGACTGCTGAAAAATCGAGCGTAAATACTTCTTTGAGCAACATCTCAAAGCATGATAATTCGGTTATGATTGATGATGATGAAACTGATCCGCATGTACAAGCAAAATGGGAAATAGTTAAAGCACAACTCTTTGAGGTTCCTAGAGAGCCGCGTCCACCTTACCGTGAATATACAAACAAGCTGTTTGTTCGACGTCCTTGGATGAAAAAGAAAGACATTGATTATCTTCAAAAATTATATACTGACTCAAAATCTTTACTCGCTAAAAAGCAATTAAAAGTACGTACTAACGTTTTCTTACAAAATGAGAATTTATTATAATGATAATTATTAATCCATATATGCTTCTTAATAAATAGACACTCTTCAATTTTGCTACATATAACAGTTTCACGGACGAACAAAAAAGTCGTCTTTTGAGACTTTTACCGAATTGTGACTTAGTTCCAATTGCGAACGAAGACGGTGATCCTATTGATACTCCGAGGATTGAACGAGAATATGTATCTGCGGGATTAGATTCTTATGATCCAGGTATATCTGAACCGGTCAGAGAACTTGATCCCGCTAAAGTTTGTCCTCGATTTGATTTTTGGCTTTCAGATTCTTTTAAAGATGCTCGATGGTGGTTTCAAACGAGCATTAAATATGGATACAATACTAAAAATGGAGTCGATACGCAATGGAATAATTTTGAAAAATTCAAGACTGAGATTCCCAAGAACTGGAAGGTGAGCAAAAATATATATCAAATAAATAAATATTTATTTAATAACATGATCTATGCTTGCAGAACGATGAATATGAACAAGAATGGGGAATTGGACTTTGGGGAAAATTAGAGAAGAAACAAATAGCGGGGTAAATATATTTAAATTATTTGCGAGTGTCATTAAAATTCGCATAACAACAATATTAACTAATTTGTGAATTAGTGATTCTGCACAAATTTCCCTTCCTGAAATGGCCAAAGCCCAGATTATTAGACTTGACGATACGTTGAGATATAAACGACAATTTAAAAACGTTGGTATAACGGTCTCAATGGATTTGAAGGTTGGTGCAACCTTTTTTAATTTAATATTATGAACTTATTTAATAATTTATCTTATATATATATATTTTTTTTAATTGCTAGGTTGTCGCTGTTAATAAATCAAATGGTCATTTGCAATTCAAGTTAATAAAAGACGAACAGGACAAAATCATAAATGATATACATAACCCAACTCGTCTAGAAAATGAGGTTCTAGATTTTGATGGTCGTGTTGCAAAGAGTTCTCGTCCCAATGGTAATGCCTTTAAAAACTTTAGCATTGTAAGGTCAGAAGATTATACCCCAAGCTTGTTTGAGGCAAGAAAAGAATATTGGGCAAAGAACCAGTAATTCTTATTTTCGTAATATCTTGTATATAATTTATATTTATAATTTTTTTTTTTTAAAAAAAAAAAAAAAAAAAAAAAAAAAAAACCTATAAAAACATGAATTTGTATATTAATATTTGATATTATATCATAACCATAAATTATTGCAAATTTAGTTAGAGATATAATGTTGATCAGATTTAAATTATTATTCAGTATTTTAATATATTAATAAAATTGTATTATTCTATTATTTATTGAACTGCAAACATAAACATAATCGTAGAAAGTGTTAACGTCTAAATGTTTTAACTACTATTAAAATTTACACTTCGCTAAATAAATCTAACTTTTCTTAATAATTTAATTACTTTTGTTTTTTTTAAAAAAATTTTTTTTAAATAAGTTCCAAAATTTTCTAAATTTTTATTTATATAAATTACTATTATTATTATTTTTTTTTTTTGTTTTGTTTTGTTTTTAGAGAATAATTTTATCCTCTTTTTTTCTAAAGGAAATGTTATATAAACTATCTAAAATTTGTTTTTTCTGAGCCACTTTAAGTACACCAAAATCATCAAATGGTACATCTTCAGGCCACCCTATAACTTCTATTTCACCTTGATGATCTTTCCATTTTTTATAGGGGATAATTAAACCTTCCGTACCAAGAGCGCTATCTATTAAAGTTAAAATTTTTTATTAGTATCTTGTTCTTAAATATCAAGTAATAATAATAATCATCTTAAAAGACATACTATAACGTGCACGTAAAATAGCTCGAACTCTTGCTTTAACGTCAGCAGAATTAATATTTCTGTGAGTACTACTAACAGCAATTGGACTATGAGGTGATTCATTAGATGATCTTTGTGATTTTGAAGTGGAATTTGTAATAGAAGGTTCCCTCTTAACTCTCTTAGCTGGTGGTATAACTATTTGTCCAGTTTGTTCTAAGAAGGAAAATAAAAAAATAAAAAAAAATGGTTTTTCATTAGTTTGTAAAAATATTTCCAAGTTTTCTTTGAATTCATAAACCTTACCAAGGTAACGATTCTTTGTATAAATTTCAAATTTATCTAATAAAGGGCACATTTCAGGACTAGCGCTGAAAAATGCCTCACCGCCACTTGAACCAATAAAACGTGAAGAAAATGAATCGTCACTTCTATTAGGAGCAACAAACATGGCCACTTCTACACCGCACTTTTTTTCCATGCAGCGAATCTGAAATAAAATAATTAATTTTTACATAAAGATCAACTCATCCAATTTTAATTTTGGAAAAATTTTTTTATCATTAACAATAAACTACCGTGGTTTTTATATTGTTTATGTCGGATTGCACTTGGGTATGACGTTTCCTTGAATTTTCAATATATTTCAATTGAACTTCTTTCATCTTTTCATTATCTAAAGCAGCCATTTCTTCATATTTTTGTTTATCAGATTCTAAGAGGGATTTCCAAGCAATCGCACAAGCTCTATTAGATTCAGCACCAAAAGAAGAATTAAATTCTTCTTTATGATTTGGCCACCATTCGGTGGCTTGGAAAACATTATAACCCGATTTTCTTCGTTTACGATTATTACTCGTAACAGTTTCATGATGATCATTCATGTATTTCTAAAGGAAACATCAGGTATCAATTGATGATTGATTATATAAAAAATAAATAAATAAAATCCGGGTTAAGATTTAACGATACCTGAACCCACAAGACATCAATATTAAGATTTTGTGCAAGTTGCTTTATAGCCATATCATGTCTATATAATTCTTCTTCAAGTTTACTGATCACCTCCTCAGCGAGATGAGGAACTAATTAATATATTCGATTCATATATGTAATAAATTTAATTCAATGATAATAAACAACAATGATTAAACAAATCAACAACTAACCTTTCTTAAACATTTTCTCTTCTATTTCAGAATCATCACCATAATCAATACCCATGGTACTAACCGATATCATATCACCATCATCTACATCTATACCTTGTACACGAACAGGATTAATCTCTTGAGTAATTTCTATAGAATTATTATTATTGTCGTTATTATTATTCATTAACACTGCTTGAATAGATTGTTCCATTTCGGTCCATTGATCTTTTTGACTATTAAGACCCATCGTCATCGTTTCTTGGGAACTTGTATGCATTAGCATTGTATCAGTTTCTACATGATCTATTATGGAATCTTGTTCAAATTCATTTTGTAATTCAACTTTGGTATTTGTAACTTTATATTGTTGTTTCCTTGTATCCATTGCTTTAATCTTTAAAGAGGAATTCGTTATAGTATCAATTAGTAGGTGAAATTAAAATCCATGGACAAAACATGGAATGGTTTGACTATAAGAGCAAAATGAGATATAGGATAACTTGCTATTTTGGTCACGCTACAAATGAAAAAAAAAAGAAGTTCGTCATTACCGGCCAAATCACGATAATAAAAATCAGTTTAAAATTTCATTATATTACCTTCGGGCAAAAAAAATAATATATATTGAGAAGTTATAATATATAAATATAAATATATATTTATATTTATATTTTCTTTTTATTTTTCTTTCAAGATAAAAACAAAGGGAAAGTTAACCGTAAGTAAAGTTATGTATCAAAACATGCTATTAACGATACGGAATTCGAGCCCACTTTTAACCCTTATCTCAAAGAAGATATTAACCTTGTTCGATTAAAAAAAAAAAAAAAAAAAGGAATGGATAGAGGACGATTGGATACAACCGCAGTAATATTACAAAGCGTAATTTACTGCGTTTTGTGCTAGTTACCCGTTACACGATTTTCAAATATTAACAATTGATTAGATTACTTCGTTGGGAAACAAAACTTGATTCTTGAGAAGCGGGATAAAGAATTTGGTTAAATTCCAATTAATAAGCGTAGTTATAGAATTTTATTTCCCGAAGCATTTGAGTTGATAGAAATCATCTGCAATATAGAATACTGACAACAGGTCTTTTCTCTATCAGTCCCTTTTAAGCTTTGTTCAAGTTTGGTAATCACGGCATACTAATTTCGAATTGAATGATTTTAAAAGCTTACTGTATACGCAGTTGCGAAACTATAAATAATTAAAGGTTATTTTTCCGATGCACTAGAGTATGCACGTGTTAACAATATAAATCACGTTTTCATGTTTTCATGCAATTTAAAGTTTAAATTTTTTTTTGCTGATTATTAAGTTTAGTTAGAAATTTTACTTTAAAACTAATTAATCGACGAAATCAGTAGAAATTTATTAAAATATATTCTTTTTTATCAAACTTATATTATGACCTTTCCTTACAAGTTTGCATACTAAGTCTAACTTGCCTATTTCGAAAGTCTAATGTATAGAAAAATGTTTGTCAAAAAGAAATTTTTTTTATTTCTGTTGAGATATAAAAATCAAAAATTATAAATTACAATTTTCGTCGCTTAGATTAATGATTTGCAATGTTATTATTGGTGCAGGCTTTATTCCCGTTAATTCATTTAATCGTATCTTTTTAACAGGTTTATCATTTAAATATTATGTTTACACTTTTAATGAAAATCTTGTTATTTTATTATTATTTATACTTTTTTTTAAATAACCTATTTTAAAAAAAAATTATAACATTTCTTACCTTCTAAAAAAAAAAAATAAAAATAACACTTGAATTTTCTTACTCGTCTCCTGAAAAGTAATTAGTATAAAACAAAACAAAAAAAAAACATCTCGACAAATTTCAAAAAATAACTTTACCTATCTCCTTGAATGAATAAAGAAGCCGTGACGTTTCTATTCCTGAAACAAAGTTTTTTACGTTTGATTCAAGGTTATTTAGTTAAAACGATTTAATCAATCTATCTGTCATCGAAAAAAAAAAATTATTTTCAGATTGGTAATTTGCAATACGTCGAATTCGAAATCATTTGATGACAGAACAAGCCAACAAAAAAAGGGGGTTGTTGGATTTGCGATTCGTTGAAAATAACTAGTGAATAAAAAAATTTTGCTGAATAGATGAAAATATGATCTCGTTGAAAATATTACGAGTTGAAGGTTGTGTGCAGTAACTGAAATAAGCTGAATGCGACGCATTGATGATTTATTGTTGTGTGTTGAATAAGTTGCCAGTTGAGGTACATGTCGAAAAAATGTTGACCAGTGTTGACTCTGATGAAGCTAAGCTGAAATGCTGAATAACGTTGAAGTATTTTTTCAAGTTGTAAATTGTTGTCCAAACCTGGGGACGTGATTAAAAAAAAATATAACATATATATAAGACTGCATAGACGCATCGCTAGAAAACAACTAAAATGATAAACACTAGGGGTTTTCTAATGATGAGTATCCTAGAGAAAATCCAATTAATCAAAATAATCCAAGAAAAGAAATCCTGTTAATAGGGAGAACGTGGTCGTGGATAAGGATCATATCGGGCAGGCGGGGGAGGTCGTCTTTCTCTATCATAAGCTCTATCATAAGTCCTCTCGTAAGCACGGTCATATCCTCCTCTTTCGTATCCTCTATCATAATAAGGCCTATCATACGCACGATCATAATAAGGTTCACGCCCATAACCACGAGGTGGTCTTTCATAGCGATCATAAGATCTGCTGTATTCATATCTAGGATCAAATCTGTCAACCCTACGAGGTTCTATAATGATAAAGATAAATGGGTATTAGTTACGTAACGACGAGAAAATATTAAAGTATCCTCACTAAAACATACCTCTACGTTTCGGTGGTCCATAATAACGACCAGGTGTGGGAGTTCTAGCTCTTGAACGACGAGCCTAAATGAATAAAAGAAAAGTTGATGATGATGATATCAAAGATGATAATTAACGAAATAACTAAAAACACACCTTCTCAACAGTTAAAACTCGTCCGTTGATGTCTGAACCACTAATCCCTTCTTTTGCTGACTCAGCCTCGTCAAGTGTATCCATTGTAACAAATCCGAAACCACGCGACTCTCTAGTATGTGGATCATACATAATTTGAGCTTTTAAGACCTATAAAACAATATTTTCCTTAAGACATTATAATGTGAAATATAAACATATAATCGGGATAGGTTTAAATTTATTTACCTTTCCATATTTTGAAAATATATCTTCTAATTCACGATCGCCAGTTCTCATGGATAACCCAGTTACAAACAAATTATTTCCTGGATTTAGGTTTTCTTCGTCCCTAATATATATTTCTATATTAGATGGATTAAGGTGTTGAATTTAATTAAATCTGTAATTATTACAATAAATTACCCTCCACTTGGTGACCTGGAGGATCTACGAGGGGATCTAGAACGGGAATGGCTAAGTGGACTACGTCTATCATCGCGTCTGTCGTCATGACGATCCTGTCTAGGACTTCTAAATGGAGTTCTATCATCATCATCGCGGAGTCGTTCTTCAGAATGTCTACTACTATCTCTGTGACGTTCGTCGTTGTCCTGAGAAAAGTTGTCAGAATTATTTCCTGTTATATTAACGAAAAAAAAAGGTTGAATTAAAAAGATATAGGAAAGTAATATTTTATAGAAAGACAAGGTTACCTTCGCCTTCACTCATTTTTTTTTATTGTGCATTAAATTACACAGTTACGAGTTTGAATTAAATATTCGTAGGTTTTAAGATAAAGTAGAAAAAAAAAAAATAAGGCCAGAAGGGCTTGGGCAAATTCCACTATTTGTGTATCAAGTCATATAGCTTCTAAGTTTAGTTAACCAATTAAAACTAAATCGTGTTACATAACAAAAAATTTTTTAAGGAACTCAGATACTGCGGAAATGTCTTTATTTCCTTTTTAGAATTTGAGTAACTTCAATGGGTGTTTTTAAAAAAAAAAAAAAAATTTCCTAGTGATGATGTAGTGCGATAGAGTTTGAAGAGCTCTTTTTTGCCCCTGACGAAAGAAAAAGAAAATATGAAAGAAATTCCTTCTCCTCTACAGCATAATGGACCTACATCAGCGCCAGCTCCTGCACCTTCAGGTCGCAGGCAGTCAATTATCGCTCCTCAGCAGCCAACGATCATCACTCAGGGAAATTTGCAACCAATGAATATGCAACTAAGTATGCGACCAAACTTTCAGACGATGAATCAAACTTCCTTGCAACAGTCTAATATAAACCCTACAGGTTTACAGTCTATCCAAAGACAGTCACCAATTGCACCTGGAATGCAACAGGCGGTTCCAGGTATGTTACAAGAGTCACAACAACAACATCTATCACCTGTGAGAGGATTACAATATCCTACATCGCGGCAGTCAGCGCCGTCAGTGGGAACGACAGTCTCAAATGTTTCTCCTAGATTACCTCGCCAACTGCCTACGCTGAAGCAATCTACTCAAACTCCACCTATAATGTCAACAGTAGGAGTTTCAACATTTCAAAATGTACCGGGTCCTCGCCCACCGAGTCGAGTCCCTCAAGGAGTAACTCCAGGAATAATACAACCCATGAATGCACCGTCACAATTTTACCCATATAATGTGGATCCAACGAATCTTTATAGATCCGGACCTAATGTAAGACAACCTTCCATGGGTTCTGGTAGAATGAACTTACCTCCACAACAGCAAACCAGTGTAAATACTTCATCTATCCCACATAATTATCCATCTTTGCATCATACCTCTCAACAATCAAATCCTTCAATGCTACCACCGCAGAGTCTGCAACCTCACCTATCACCTAGGTTATCGGCTCATAGCGATTTACAATCAACTTCAGCTCGTACAACACGTCCGCCAATGCCTATACCTGACATAAGACAATCTACTTCTACACCGCACATGTTAACACAAGGTGTACAACAACTATCAATACGTTCCGTTCCAGAGACGACTTCAAAGGCGACACAGGGTATTCTACCCGCTGCTTTACGTCCTCCTGAGGGTCAACGTTCTGTACAAGAATCAGGTCCGCAGGCAATGCAGGGCATTCAGCCTATCTCACACACGTCCGGTCGTACATCCCAGTCCTATCTTCCCGACATGCCTCCGCCAGCGATTACACAAATTCAATCTTCTCAACGTAGCACTCCTAAATTACTGCCACAAACCTTATCACAACAAGTTACGCATAATTCCCCAATACAACTTTCTCAGCGAATTAGTCAAAAACAAAGTTCTCCGTTAATTTCGCAAGCGATTGTGAAAACGTCACAAACTTCCCCAAAGCTTCCACATTCATCCACTAAATCATCTCATAGATCGCATAAAGGTGGGCATCATGGTTCACAGAAAACCATACAACAATCAAGTCAATTAACGCCAAGTCAACAAAAAGCTGCCGAAAAACAAGTTACAGAAGCAGCTCGTGTACTATATTTGTCTTCGAGGTCTCGTGATGATTCACAGAGACTTATGAATTCAGATTTTAGTTATCAATATGCTGCAGTTAATAATATTCATATCAATACCAATAATAATCATCATCATGCTCATCACCGATCTAGTAAGCCCATACCCGACAGTACTGTATCACGTGATGAGAATATGTCAAGAGAGCAAGAAATAGGATTGGTACCACATAATCGAGGGCATAAAATGAAACATAGAGCTGAAGCATTAGATAGTGGTGTCAAATTAAGAGCACCATATGGATACGTTGAGGATAAAGAGGAGGTTGAAATTCCTAATGGCACAAGGCGACCCATTATTTACCGAGCAAATAAAGAGGCGACGAACCAAGCAACAGAATTTGAAGGTGATCCTAATGATAACCCATATAAGGATATTAATGTTGAAGATATTCTTGGACCACTAGAAAAACCCGAAGATGCGGTGCGCAAGCCACATTATCGACGTATACTTAAAAGCAAGCATTTAGAATCATTAGCGAAGGAATTAATGGAAAGGATTGAGAAGGAACATGAATTTAATAAGAAGATAAGCAGATTAATGATAGTATTCCAAGGGGATGATGTTATGCATCAAGACCTTGATTTCCGATTAAATCCTCCACCGGAGACGGTTAGTACACGGGTGTTCAAAGCTGAAGAAGTTGAAGGAGGAAAAAATTTTGGAGTACTCAATGTGGGTTTACAAGGGAATGATCGAAGTAAAGGAAAGAGGGCCCAAGAAGCTAAAGATCAAGGTTTAGTAACCTTGAATACAGTGCGTGAACAATTACAGGAGCAACTTGAACATAGCAATGAGATATTAAGACGATACAATGAGACGAGGGAAAGTGTATTAAAAGCTATAAGACAAAAGAATATGATATATAAAAGATTATGTGAGATTGATAAGCAACGTAAGAAGGAAGAAAAGAATAGTGACAAGACTAGCGCGTCACTAAAGAAACATCCACACAAAGAAAAGGAGAAAGAGAAGGAAAAAGAACGTGAAGTTTAAAAAAAAGGTTATATATATATATTACTTACGTGTAAGTAAAATTGATTAGTAATCAATTTTTAAAAAAAATAGAAAAATTAGTAGTTAAATGTAAATTAATATTAGAATTGTTTTTATATAATCAAGTTTAATTATGTATATACATATGTGTGGGAGGTATACATGCACCCGTAAAACATGATGTTTACGCGTTTTGCAATCAATCATGTTAATCGTTTTGCAACCAAAATTGTTATAAATAAAACGGCTTTTCGAAACCTTCTTTCTGTAACATACTAAAATCGTAAAATAATTGTTGTAAGTAAAAATTTATTTTATAAATTCCTTGAAAGAGGAAAATAAGCATTGGTAATTTAATAAATTTTTAAATTTATAAATCAAATGATCATGAATTGATCCTATCCCGCCCATTATTATTACTAAAATCATCGTCATCCCTACGGTATTATAATTATCGAGTTAACTTTACTAAATGAAAAATATATATCTCTCTCTATATTTAAGCTTTCTTGACATTTTTCTTTGCACCATTGCTTTTTATCATCACCAAAGCCAGGAAAGTAAATACTACAGTAAGACCAATAAGTAATAATACAACAGGTATCCTTATGGCATATGATCTATCAGGAAAATATTCATGTAATGGATGTCCCTCATCAACAAATGGCTATACAAAGCAAATAGAGGATTTTTTTTTTAAAAAAAAAAAAAATACGTATTTAGATTTAGAATAACTGAAATGTTTATTTAAAATTTTTTTTTAAAAAAAAAAAAATAATAAATTACCATAATCAATGCCCATATCGTATAATATAAAAACAATACTACAGAGGTTAAAAGTAATGTTGCACCAACTGCTTTATCACTAAATGCCTGAATCAAGAATTAATTAAATCGAATTCAATTAATAAAAAAAAAATGAATTAAACATTTAAAAACGAATTTTTTTTTTTTCCAATTAAAAATAATTACAAACCATTTATTATAATAAAAAAAAAAAAAAAAGATTATGAAATATAAAAATTTATAATTGACTTTTTTGATCATTTAGAAAAACCTAAACTTTCCGAACCATGTACAAAATTGATCTAACCGAAGTAATATAACTAAAGTTGATCTTGACCTTTTTGATCTAAATGAAAATTCCTTTTTTCAAAAATTACTTTCTTCTCGTATGGAAAAATCTATTGTGTAGATACGATCGATAATCACATAAAATAATTATTTCTGGTTACTGAAACGATAAAATCAAACGCATTGAAATTTCATAGCACAAATTTTTATCTTTAACGGAAATAAATTGATTTTGTTTATTATGATTTATATAGTTGATCAAACATTCTAGATGGACAATAAAAAAATCTAGGGAAAAAAATAGTTCGGATAAAATAAAAAATTTTTAATGATAAACTTGTATTATTGATTTTTTTTTTTCTTCTTTTTTTTTTTTTATAATTTGGATCCTTTGAAATAATATATATATATATATATATATAATTTTTTTTTTTTTTCAACTTGATTACTTCTTGCATCAACTGTAAATTATAAAATTACATTTGAAGACGATGAAACAATTTCAAAGGAAATACTAATTCACACGATTACGTTTCATTTTATATCTTTTTTATAAAAAAAAAAATTAATGGTGGATTTCTATATATTGATTCGATAAAATTAAAATGTATCATCTTCATATACTTCTGCTTCAGCTGCTCCTTCGGGTGGAACTTCAAATCCATCCTAAAAAAATAAAGGTAAATAGTTATTAAAAAAGAAAACAACTTAAATATTTAACAAAAAAAAAAAGATTAATCTTAAAGCGTACTTCTGTGCTATAAAGAATGGCTTGAACTTCTTTCAATAATTGGTTATCAGGTTCGACATCGAGTTGCTGTTGAACCAGGATTTCGATATCTCTAAGTTTTCCAAAGTAAAAATCGCGTTCCTTTTCGAGACCATCTACGGTAACTTTGAGTTCATCTACTTGTTTGTTTAATTCGATCATCATTGAAGCTGATTGATTGGATTCATGTAACGATGAAGATGCCATTCGTCCTATAAAATGAACAAGATTAGATCACTTAGTGAAAATTATTTAAAAAAAAAAAAGAATTTATTTTTAAAAAAAGGTCATTCACCCGCTGTGCTAGCGGCAGTGGTCCTTTTTGCCATGGTCTTAGTGGCGCCACCACCGGATACTGATTTTACAGCGCCTACTTGACCACCACCACGCCTTGCTACGGCGTCATAAGGTCCGCCAGGATAATATGTATCCCAATATTTCTTCATCCATTGTAAGAATTCAAGATTATCTTGAAATTTACATTTAACAAGTCGTTCGACGGGAATCATCTATTTTAAATCAGATGTACAAGTTAGTTAAAAGATCCCAAAAATTATTAAAAAGAACACATAAAAAGTTAAACCTCGATTTATTCTGTTTACCTTATCAATTTTGTGTTTGTCAAAAGCTGTCTGCAACACTTTGAAATTAGCGACGTACTCATATTCATGTCTCGCATTAAACTTAACTTTTTGCATTTGAACATCCCCTAAATATAAAATTTTAGTTATAAGTCTTCAAATCGATGATATAAACCAAGTTTTTAAAAAGAACACAAAGCTTATCATATTTACCGAATACGGAGTCGATTATTTGACAATGAGCGGCGCCTAATTTCGATAGTTATTTAAAAGCGTTAACAAAGTATTTGAACAAATGAGTCGTAATATATGACTCTTAACGTTTATTAGATGTTAACTGTCAAAGACAACTAGCTGAGAAAATAGTTTTACTTACCCGTTCCACATTGTTCAACCTTTGTATAGTTGATTTGCAACAGGTCGTTCATCCACGCGATTAGTTCTGTTCTTGATTCGCTACTCATGGTGATATAATGTTATTATCAAGTTCTTCGATGATCTCGAGAATGTAAAAGAGGAAAAGAAGAGGAAAAAAAAATTTTATTCCCTCAAAGAAACTAAACGGCTGAGATGATTTATGGTGGTTGGGGAGCTGAAAGAACTTCTATGTTTGTGTCACAAAAAAAAATTTCAAGACAATATCAAGTAACTAATAGACTTTAATTACTTTCTTAGGAAAAGATCAGTAATTTTCTATGCCGGCAACTTTCTCAAATGTCAGCAAAATCTTTTGTTTATATATAGTAAAATTGTGATGTTACATTTTATAATGCTGAGCAAAGTTATCAAGAAGTTCATTACAAGTTTTGAAATTTTTTTTTAATGTAATCGTAAACCAATAACGAGACATTTGTCTCCATGGATTTGGGTTATTTGAAAACACAAACCAGGAAATGCAAAAGTTAACAAGCAGCTTGTTAATTGCATTGTACTAATTCGTTAGACATTGCAGAAGCAAAAATGAAAACACTGGTTCCACGCGAAATCAATGCAGCAAGCAAATGTATATTTGTCAAAAAATTGTACGCTTTGTTGATGATCTTGTAATCCATAATTGTTGAATGCAATACGTCAATCAGCAAAAAATAATCTAAGGTTTTTAATTTAATTAATGCATGACTCTTTTTTTTTTTATAAAAAAAAAAAAAAAAAATTATTAACAAATAAAAAACAAAAAGTTCTTATTAAATATATTTTCGCTTAGGCAATTGTCTGTACATACATTGATGTAACCTCACGTCTAATCAAGTTTATGTGTCACATGATCAGTTTTTAAAATTGTATCATGTGATTGCTGAAAAGCCAAACTTTTAAAAATCTCGTAGATTATCTTTTTTGCTAAATATAACCGATTGATTTTTTATTCAACAAAATAAATTTGCAAAATCCAAAGGAAAAAAGATGTGAATTAACATGCATCAATTATTTTCCTTGCTTTTCGGAAAAAAAAAAAAAAAAAAAATGTTTTTAAACATACTTATTTTATTTACTTATCTATCTCGTCCGTTTAAATGTTTGTTTGTTTGTTATAAACCCGAATGTCCAAAGACCCCAAATGTTTCCGATTATAATACAAAGTGAAATACAATAAAAGATACAATTATAGTAGTACTCTTACATAGTATAATAGATTCTATTCATATTGGGATGACGAATAAGTAGAACTAACAGAACCGCCTCCTTTACCGCCTACAATTTTTGCCCCTAATGTGGCAAATAGTCCAGGAGAGCTAGAAAGCTTTTTATCTTTCTTTTCTCCACCTATACCTCCAACCAAATTGGTTCGTTTTAATTCTGATGACGATTCTTTAATTGCACCATCATATGAATTAGCACTACTTGATATCGAATCAAAGATAAATGATCTCTTTTTTGTTATGTTTTTTGTTTTTTCTTTGTTACCTTCTATATCACCAGAATTACTTCTTTGTCGACGCTGTATTCGTGGTCGTAATTTTAACGATGCTTGCGTTGACTGTTGAGTTGGCAATGTTGATGTTCCACTTAGATTTTCATGGTTGGAACTGAAAATTCCATATCGCTTTGTAGGAGAAACTGTATGTGATTTCACAGCGGCTTTCAAATTAGAAAAGAAACTGTTACTTGTTGAAGTTGGTGATGAATCTGGTGAATCTAAATGATCTTGCGACGAACTATTCACTGCTACATTCAGAAATTGAAATTCGGGAATTACTGGTGATTTAAATGAATCATTTATCATCGAACTGTAATAAAATCATGTCATGTAAAATTTGACGTTAAAAAAAGAATTAACTAATAATGCTACTATACATTCTAAATACTATGAAAATAATTACTTTACCTAAAGTTATCATCATCAAGGGGGGAATTATGAGATGATATTCCATTTTCTTGACATATTTGTTGCCAAGTTTTTAAATGTTGCCCATAAACTTTATTCACATATGATGGTGTTTCCTTTTCATCTTCCAAAGGTGTGGGCATATTATTTGTGCTGTTAGTAGAAAATCCACTATCATTCCTTGAATGATCTTGACTTGAAGCAACAGATGGTTCCTTATGATGTTGAAAAGTTAAAGACATGGGTGACATTTCTTCACGTGTAGCTGATGTTGAAGAATATCGTCTATGGATTTTCATGAAATCTCTTGATCTACTACTACAAGATCTCCTTAAAACAGAAGACGAATCGTCGACAGTGCCAAAAAACTTCATAACATCATCCGGCAGTTTATATCCTCGTAAATCAACAGTTTTAGGTGAAATACAACCAACTTGTGACGGATCGAACCCTCGATTCATCTCTTCAATATCTTTTATCATTCGATCAATTTCACTCGTCGTGTTAGATCGATTTCTTTTATGAACATGTGGGAATTGAAATGATTTGCTTGGATTCGATTGATGTCTTGGAGAAAAATCTGTATCATTCTTACAATTGTAAAGTTGTTCTCCGCGATGTCTATTAAACATTATGGGAATTGGTTTAGAGTTTTCTATCAAATGTCCTTCCGAAAATTGTTCATGAGGCCCAATTATTGATAAAAGCTCACTTTTTTCCTCTATTATTGTTTCATGTTCCCTTGCTTGACGACCCTTAACTATACTTTGTTCTATAGATTCAATTCTTTCTCCAAAGCTATCATGAGGTGCTTTATCAGAACTAAATGGACTAATAGCTTTAATTGTAGGAAGTACAAAATCTTTTTGTCTAATGTTATTCGCTGCTTCAATATCCAAAAGTGGCAATTGCGATACTGGTCCATTATTATCATTGTTTTGTCCATCTGTTGCTTTAGTCCACGAATAACGAGTATTGTTCTTTTTATCTCCTGGAATTAAATGTCCACCTCTTCTAAATAAAAAATTGTCATTTTTCTTCTTTTTCTCTATTCCCCTGTTTAATCTTATTTCTTCTGGTTCATCGGCAAATACTAAATTACTCTCAGCAAAATATGGATGCTTAAGAGAATCTAATGCAGTGAGACGCTGCCTTGGATCATAACGCAAAAGATGTGAAAGAAATTCAAGAAAATAAGGTGGAGTTGACTGAGTGAACCTACTTGACAATGGTTGGGGCTGGTTCTAATAATTGAAAGCATGTTATTAAATTGAGTTGAATTTATTTTCATGAGACAGAGATTTATGAAGGAATCTTGTATCGTAAAATATTAGTACATCAACTAAGCGTGTATAATAAAGTTCAATAAAAATTATTTGTTTTTTTTACCTGTGGGAAAGAAAATCCCATCGTCTTTGCTAGTTTAACACCTTCCTTCCATTCTCCTCCACCAACCCCACCAACTTGCATAGCAAGTTCCGATTTAACGTTCGGACTCCCTAATACTTCAGAAATTTTGAACAGTTGATCTATTTCACTTTGTCCAGGAAATAAAGGTTTTAAAGTACACAATTCTGCTAATATGGTTCCGACCGCCCATAAATCTATTGGTGAAGAATAATAATTTGAACGTAAAAGTACTTCCGGCGCACGATACCTAAAAGTAAGGTTAAATTAAACATTCTATATATAAATAACAATTGAAATTTCGTATTCTTACCATCTTGTACTAACGTAATCTGTATAAGGAGATTTCGATTTTATCTCTCTTGCTAAACCAAAGTCTCCAAGTTTTACTATATACTCAAAGCCTTCATCTATTTGACTTAATCCCTGGGAAATTTTTATATTGTCCGTCAAAGTATTTTTAAAACATGGAGTATTAGAAGGAATTGTTGAATAATTTTCCTGTATTTCACAATTATAGTCACATTCACACGTTATTTTTTTTCGAGTTGAGATAAGAATATTTTCCGGCTTCATATCACGATGAAAAATTCCGTGTGAATGAATATGATAAAGTCCTTCAAGTATTTGGAATCTATAATAATTATTGAAATGAGAGAAGATAATAAGTTATGTACTTATATTTTAAAAAAAAAAAAAAAAAAAAATAAGATTTTACGAAATGACTTTACGTGATAGATTGTACAATTTTTTCATTCAACAATTTTCCTTTCCTATCTTTTATTAATTGATAAAGATTACCTTCCATATACTCAAAAACAAAATATAACTCTCGCGTTTGAGGTATAAGAAAAGCCTCTAGTAAAGAAATGATATTTGGTTTTGACGGTAAAACTCTTAGAGCCTTTATTTATCCAATTTCCAATCATTATTATTATTACAATTAACAAAATTATGTTAAAAACTCGTGCGTGATATGAATCTAAAAATAATTACGAAAACGAAAATGACTATAGAAATTAGATCAAAATATATATATATATATCTTCCAATTAATACCTTAAACTCACGAAGCTCACAAACTTTATCCCATGAAGAAAATTTCTTCTTCATTCTTTTGATGGCCACCTTTTATATTATTTTAAAAAGAGCATGAATGTAATTAGAAATATACTTGGGCGGAATAAAATTGTTTACAATAAATAAATTTATTTCATATTGAATTCTACCCTACATAGCTTCTACTATTTATGATTAACTTTCTTGGAAATCAATATTTCATATTCGGCGCGTCTTAAACTCTTCATGAACTTTTTACAAATTGTTAGATTTAAAAAAAATTAAATAGAAGTCAACTTTATTTTCCATTTTTATTTGTATTACTTTTAATAAAACTTTCCGATAAAATTTTTTCTGCTTTCTTATAAAGACGAATACGTATACTTTTCTTAATCCAAATTTCTAAGGAAATCTGGAGATCTAATTGAGTAAACGATATAAAGAAACTTACCACTTGTCCTGTTTGTTTGTGTTGCGCTTGTATAACTGTGCCAAATGAACCATCTCCTAACTCTTTTCTGATAAGGTAATCATCCATTTTGACGATACAATTTTAAAGATGTAAGAGAAGTGTATAATAAAATTCGAACAAAAAGTTTTCTGAAAAGGATTCGGGTCATAAGATCTGCCAATGATGTGCATGATTTGGCAAAAATTGATTTTATTTGTTTATTATAAACTATTATTTATTATTTGTTTATCATTTAATTTATTATTAAATTTATATTATAATAAGTAAATGAATATTTATAGTCTTAATTAAAGAAATCAAATAGTAGTCTTTAAATCAAAACAGAAAATCATATAATTTAAAATCTTATTGGATTTTTTTTTTTATAAAGAATTAAATTAAATAACATGTTTTTTTATAAGTATATTTATTTAAATCAAATTATAATCTATTTATTTCAAATTACTTAAAATATATAAAATTTTAATTATTATTTTAATTTTAATTATAATTTTCATATAGTAGAAAGAAGAAAACTACCAGAATAATAAAAATAAGTTAATATTAAATCTAAAATATCTAAAATATATTTTAACTAAAATTATATTTAACATATAAAAGTAAAATTAATTTTTTTGATATAGTTATATATTTCAAATTATTATAAAATATATTGTTATATAAAAATAAATTTAATATATATTTTAATAACTTGAAAACTTTACAAAATAAGTTAATGCTAATAATTTAAATTTATTTTAATCTAAAAATAATATTTGACATATATAAATAAATTGATTTTTTTAGCAATTTTCTCAGTTTTTATTATAAAAGTCTTATTTTATTAAATATATTTTATTTTTATTAAAAATAATTCAATTTAAAATTATATTTAAAAGATTTATTATCTCTTAAATATAAATATAAATTATTTATAAGATACTTTATAAAATTATAATATTTTAATAAAAAAATCTCTTTTTATTAATCACTTTAAACTAAAAAATAACTAAAAATTATAGACAAAATAATGACATTAAATCTATAAACTTTACTCTTCTTTAATAAAAAATAACTAATAATATCAATTAACTAAAAAGTAAATTATAAAATATTTCAATAATCTGAACCTTTTACTATAGCAAAAAATACTACTGAAAATATAAAAATATAGTTAACTATTACTTCTTTTTTTAATAAAAAAATTATCTGAAACTAATAAAGCTTTTTTAAATAATAATCAAATTTTTGACATTTTTAAAAATAGTTTTAATAATAAAAATAAACAAAAAGTATTATTTAAAATTTTTATTTACTTTATTATTATATTATATAAGTTATTTTTACAAAAAAAACTAATAAAAAAAAATAAAATAAAGCATATAATATATTTTCATTAAATTTTACTTTATTTATTGATATATCAGTATGTAATTACTCTAAAAATACTATAAAAAATTATTTAAAATTGAATTTACATTTCATGATAAAATAAAAATACATTTATATTTTATTTATTTTATTTAAATAACTTTATATTTTTATCCTTTATAAATAAATATATTATCAAATATATTTTGAATTTATTAAATTTATAAAAATTCTAATTTTTACTATTAAATTAAATATTAAATTATATTTTCTTTTTAAAAGATCACTCAATATATAATATCAATTAAAATTGTAATAACAAACTACTTTATATTTATAAATTATATAGATATAATCACTGTTAACAAAATAAAATAATTATTTTATTTTTAAAGATCCTATATATATTTATTTTTATATAATGATTATTAAAAATATTTGTAAAAAATCTGAATTTTTTCTAAATTTATTAATTTTTTTTAATATAAATAAGATTACTAGACAAAACCTAAAGATTTTATAAGTCGTCTAAATGGAAAAGTAAAATTTAGTAAAATTATATTAAAATTATATTAAAAAATCTGTTAAATTCTGAAAAAAGTAAAACTATATCAAAGTTTATAAAAATGTGAAACATATAAAATCCTTAATAAAAATTTAGCAAACCTATAATTTAAACATTTTACTAAATCTAAAATAAATTTAGATAAGCATTCTTAGTATAGGTTGGGGCTGTACTTAGTTATTATTATTATTAAATTAATCATCTACTAATTAATATTATTTTTAATATCAATTATAAAATTAATTTTCTACTTACCATTTAAAGCTATTATATTGCTTCTCATTTATAAGCATCTTAAAGAATTAACCATAATACTACTTTATTAAAAGTATTTAATTAAGTTTTTTTTGAGTTTTTTGAGATTGAATATATTAATTAATATAAATTTTTTCTAAAATAAATGCTCTAATTTTAATGATTAAATTTGTTTATTTGTTTTTTTATTATACTATATATATTAAATTTAGCAATAAAAATAAAAGAATAATTAATTTTATATAGTAATAATCTTTAACTTTCTTACCGTATATCAAAGTATATATTTATATTACAAAAAATATTAAAATTGAATTATACAAAAAGATTAAGATTTTTTTAGATTGGTCTTCTTAATTTTTAAATCTTAATCCTATTGAATATTTGTAATATAAATTAGAATAAAGACTTTAAAAATGATTAAAGTATCTAAAAATTTATATGAACTTGAAAAAAATTCTATCAAAAATTTATATTAATTTAATTAAAAGTATATTATGTCAGATAGAAATATATATTAAAAATCAAAAATAGCTAATTAAATATTAAAAATTTATAATATTTATAATAAAATATAATTTTTAAATTAATTAATCAGATAGAAAAAAGAAAAAAAAAGTATTCAGTTAACCTTTTAATAGAGTAATATACCTTTTTTTCTCTTTATAAAAACTTATCTTTAATTTTAAGACTTGAAAAACTTTAAAAATTATAAAAAATAATATTAGTTAATTTTTCTTTTTTTTAAAAAATAAATTTTATATCCTTTCTTACTTTTATAAAACTTATCTTATTAGTTTAATAATTATAAACAAAAATGATTTACTTTTAATTTAATATACTAAATTAAATATAATATTTTATCTAATTATACTTATATGAAGATATAATAAAAGATAATAGTAAATAAATTGATAAGATTTATTTATTAATCTCTTGATTTATCTATCTTAAGTTGCTTTTAATTTAAGGAAAAATACAAAATATTTTTATAAAATAAAATACTAATAATAAAATATAATAAATAAGTATAAATAATAAATATAATAATAATAAATATAATAAATATAAAATATATAATAACTCTACTAAATATATTATAACTAATAAGTATAATGAATATAAATAATATATTTAATATATCTAATAAATAAATTATAATCATTTTATCATATTATCAACTTTGTTAACTTTATTAATTATTTTTAATTACGTGATTAGTTACAGTCAAGAATTATGATTTTAAACTCTAATTCTTAGATGTAAAAAAATTCTGAAACTTATAAAAGATAAATATTAATTAGTTTTCTTTTCTTTTTTATTTTATTTTTAAAAATAAATCTTACATTTTTCTTTGTTTTTATAGAAATTATTTTTGATTTTAAAACTTAAGAACTAAGAAACCTACAAAAAAGTAAGTATTAATTAATTTTTTTTTAAAAAACTCATACTTTCTTTTTCTTTATAGAAATTTATTTCTGATTTATAAAATTTGAAAAACTTCAGATCAGATCTATAAAATAAGTTAATTTTAGTTTTTTATTTAAATTAAATAATAAATATTTCTTAAATTTTTTTTAAGTTTTATTTCATTTAAAAATTTAAGAATTTAAAAGTTCAACTTATAAAAAAAGGAACATTATTAAATATTTCTTATAATAAAAAAAACTCAACCACTTAATTATATTAAAATAAAAGTAGATAATAATAAGAAATCTAATTCAATACTAAAAAATTCTGAATAAAAAATACAAAAAAAAATACTAATAAATAATAAATTTTTAAAGTATTTATAAGTAATTAATAATATGATAATTTCAAATAGTAAGTATAAAAGTTAATTTTATAATTAATTTAAAGTAGTATTGATTAGTAAATAGTTTATTTAATAATAATATAAATTAATACTGCTTTAGTTAATATTCTATATTATACAAATATTATCTCTTAAAGTGTAAGTATAAATTGGTCATAAAATATTGTAGAAAAATTATAATATTTTAATATCTAGTGATTATATAAAGATAAAATGAAGTTTATCAAATTTGTTATATTAAGATTTATCTAATGATAATATTTTTAAATTTTTAAAATTAATAATTATTAATATATATAAATTTTTCAATTTTTCAATTTTTAAAGTAACTTATTATCTAATAATTATAAGAAAATGAAATTTAATTTATTGTATTTATCTATTAAAGGCCTATTAAATGATTATATTTCATATTTCTGAAATCAATAGATAACAAGATATATAAGTTTAAAAATTTAATTTTTTTATAATAATTTATTATATATTTATCTTTAAAATATCACTAATTAATTATATTTTTTTTTGAATTTTTACTTAGAAAACATCATAAAATTTATTATAAAAATATTAATTTTTAAATAAATTATTTTAAAAATATTTAAAAATATTATAAATAATTTTAATTATTAAATAAAATTACAGGTAAATTTGTTTGCAAAACATTTAAAAGGATAAGATAATTAAAGTAAACTATTTTAATAAAACTATTTCTAATATATAAAATATACTGAAAGTTAAAAGAATTCTTTTTATATTTATATAAAATTAATATATAGAATTATTAAATAAATATAATAAATATAATAAAAAGAAAAATATAGTGATGATCAAAAAAAATGTATTTTAAATTTTTAGTATTTTAATATTTTATCTTCTTAAATATAAATTTTAGAATAAAAATTCTTATAATTATTTTAATACTTGAGATTTTGAAAATGTAAATCATCAAATCATTTAATATAGATAATCTTGAATAAACTGATGATTAATATTTGTAATTAATAGTTAGTAAATTTTAATTATAAATAAAATATTTTTTAAAATAGTTATGATAAAACTAATTCAAAAGTTAATTAATTT